TCTTTCTTTCTTTCTTTCTTTCTTTCTTTCTTTCTTTCTTTCTTTCTCTTCCTTCTTAGCTTCCTTCTTTCCTTCCTTCCTTTCTTCTTTCCTCTCCTCTCCTCCATTTGAAAAAGAGAAGCAGGATTGGGGAACAGTGTTCGATGATGAGAGACTTTATCTGATTTCATTTTTCCATTTCCAAGAGCGAAACAGGTTGTGCTTCATGCACCAGGCTTTTAAACAACCACTCAGCATGGTGCCGGAAAGTCTCAGATGCTTGCATTGCTTTATTTATTGATTGATCCATTTGCTTGAATGCTATGGTTTTCAGCTGAATGGAGTACAATAAAAAATCACAATAAGACCATGGGCACAAGGCACAAGAGCACTAATCAAGACCTGCATAAAAGCAGTCAAGGGATTCTTTCCCTTTTATCTGTCTGGGCTGCAATTTTCTTATTGTGCAGAGGGCGTTGCTTGTGTGTGTATGGGGGGGGGGTTGGACTAGATGGCCGCTGAGGGTGCCCTTCCATTTCTGTTATTAACAGAAAAACAGAATAACGGAGTTGGAAGGGACCTTGGAGGTCTTCTAGTCCAACCCCCTGCCCAAGAAGGAAACCCTATACCATATAACAAGTGACTCTCCAATCTCTTCTTAAAAACTTCCAGTGTTGGGGAATTCACAACTTCTGGAGGCAAGTTGTTCCATTGATTAATTGTTCTCACTGTCAGGAAATTTCTCCTTAGTTCTAAGTTGCTTCTCTCCTTGATTTAGTTTCCATCTATTGCTTCGTGTTCTGCCCTCAGGTGCTTTGGAGAATAGCTTGACCCCCTCTTCTTTGGGGCAGCCCCTGAGATATCGGAACACTGCTATCATGTCACCCTTAGTCCTTCTCCTCATTAGACTAAACATACCCAGTTCCTGCAACTGTTCTTTATATATTCTAGCCTCCAGTCCCTTAATCCTCTTCGTTGTTCTTCTCCACACTCTTTCTAGAATCTGGCGACCAAAACTGGACACCGTATTCCAAGTGTGGCCTTACCAAGGCATTATAAAGCGGTATTAACATTTTACATGGTCTTGATTCTATCCCTTTGTTAATGCAGCCTAGGATGGTGTTGGCTTTTTTGGCAGCTGCTGCACAAGGCTGGCTCATATTTAAGTGATGAGAACTATGCTGGTAGTCCTTGATTAATAATCGTTCATTTAGCGATCATTCAAATGTACAATGGCATTGAAACGTATCAGAGGTAGTTCTTGTGGCAGCATCCCATCATTCATGTCATCAAACTTTTAATCGGAAGCCAGTGCTCTGACCAAGGCTTCCTGAGACCATAATTAAGCACACGCTTAGTCCAAACCAACTCTTGTTTTATTTCAACACTGGGAATTATGTGCATTCCCAGCCCGTAATGAGTCCCAAACAGTCCCTCGAGATAAGCACTCACCTTTCTCTCCTTTGAATTGCTGCCAACAACTAACGTGCCAAATTAAAAAAAACCAATTGAAGTACAAAGTCCACACAGAGCTTCAAGGTTTAATCCGAACAGAGCGAACAACTTTGCTTTCTGCAAAGGTTTTCCTACCTTTGCTTGTCCTTTATATCTTATGGGAGGGGCAATCACCTCCCAGCCTTACTCCTGAGTCGCTCCTTCTGCTTCAACTGCTCTCACCTTCTAGCAGCTCTGCACACAAACACACTGGGAACAGGCTCCCCTTGTTCCTCTGCCTCACTGCTGCCAGACTCTGGAGGCTCTGGAGGCAGCACCCCACTCCCAGATGGTCCTGGCCCCAACTCTGCATTGGACGCAGGACCCTCGTCCAAGTCCTCCCCAGATTCCCAGGCTGGTCCCTGTTCTTCCCCACTGTCCGATTCTGCTGCTGTCTGCACAGGCTGCCAGTGAACCACAACAGCCAGATCCATTTAACAACCAGGTTACTAACATATCAATAGCCGCAATTCACTTAACAACTACTGCAGCAAGGAAGATCGTAGAGTGGGGCAAAACTCCCTTAACAAATGTTTCACTTCACAACAGAAATTTGGGGCTCTGTTATGTAAGCCGAGGACTGCCTGTGAAATAGTAGTCACAAGTAAACCTGGTTAAGGAGGATGGGGCTTAATTCCAAGTAAGAAGGCTAAGATGGCCACCTTGTTTTTCCATCTTCCCTTCCCCTCTCTGACTGGAGAACTGCAATACTTTTCAGGATAAGCCACAAAAAACCCCATTCACTTACAAATCTCCAATATAAAGGTTAGGCCAGACTTCGCTGACATTTCCCCGGCAAGGAACTGGTGTCCATAACAGGCGTTGCAACTCTCCCAGTTCTGGAGTTTGATAGCTCTGCTGGCAGCTCAGGGAGCGACTGGATGTTCTTTGCAGCCCGGGGCGTCTTAAGTCGTCCGTGTGTAGCGAATACCAGGACATTCTGAAAGAGACTGGAAAGAAGAGTTCCTCTGTGGATTTATGGAGATCAGGGTGGAACAAAGCGAGTCAATGCCAGACCTAAAAGGTAGGAGCAGGGCTGGGCTTCAAAAAAAAATGTAGCAACCGGTTGTCTGCCTAATTGCTGGGTGGGCATGGCCATGATAGGGGTGCTCTAATTGGCCTCCTGTACCATGGCGGGGGGGACGTTTTTGCCCCCAGGCTCAAGTGGGTTTCCTCGAGCCTCCAAGAGGGCGAAAACGGCTTCCTCAGTCTCTGCAGGCTCTCAGGAGGCCCAAAACAGGCCTGTTTCCAGCCTTCTGGAGCCTCCGGGGGGGCATTTTTTGCCCTCCCTGAGTTCCCACACAGGCTATGCACTTACCTGGGATCCAAAATGGGCCACATGGAGACTCCTGGGAGCATCAGGGTAGAGCGGGGTGGGTGGGGCCAGCCAGTCAGCTGAACTACCGGTTGGGCAAACCAGATATAAAATTAACATCCAGTTCGCCCGAACCAGTGTGAACCGGTAGCAGCACAGCCCTGGCTCATGAGAGGGAATTGGCTTTGGGGACAGCTGTACACGCTTTTTGGTTGAAAGACTTCAGCAGAAGAATCAGAAGTCTTGATTCTTCAGGACTTTGTAAACTACCGGCCTCCAAGGGCACAAGGCACACAACGTTCGGGGCATATTCTACATCCCTTCTTTGCAGCTCTGGATTAACCACGAAGGAAAATAAATACCTGCTTAGGGCATTGAGGGAAGAGGGGCACCTCAATGTTTCTTTCCCTGGCTGTCAAGCCCTTGACTTATTTTGCCTTGTATTCTTTGGGAGGGATATTACTTTTCAATATCTTTTGTGTTTTCTTTATCCCTTATAGCAGGGGTGTCCAACCATGACAACATAAAAAGTGATGAAAATTTGCATTTTTTTTTCTGTTGCCCTACTTAGAAACTTATAATTTGCTTACACTGCTTAGTGCTATTTAGTGTTGACTATTTTTTTAAAAAAAAGTTTATATTTAATATAAGTGTGGGCTCTGTCCTGGGAATGACCTGGAAGACAAGTGAATTTTTAATGCCATTTCTCCTTTATCATTTATTATTGTGTTTTGATGTCTTATCAGATAAGCAAAGGAAAGGTTGAGGATTCATTGGCCTTGATCCAGCTTTCCTTCTTTCTCTTTTACTCTGAAGGCAATTAAAGCTCTAGTACGGCCATCATTGCATAGGGCCCTGTGCCACTTGGGTCATCTGATTATGCCTTTCTCTCTCTCTTTCTCTTTCTCTTTCTCTTTCTCTCTCTCTTTCTCTTTCTCTCTCTCCCACTCTCCCTCTCTCTCTCTCTCTCTCTCTCTCTGTGTGTGTGTGTAGAGACAGAGAGAGACACAAAGACAGACAGACAGACAGACACACACGGAGACACACACACGTACACACACACACACAGAGAGAGAGAGAGACAGACAGACAGACAGAGAGACACAGAGAGACAGAGAAAGAGAAACAGAGAGACAGAGGGAGGGATAGGGAGACAGAGACAAAGAGAAAGGGACAGAAAGAAAGCAAGAAAGAGAGAGAAAGAGAGGGGGAGAGGGAGATTGGACAGCCTGTTCTCTTTTTCCTCTGAGAAGGTGGACTATGGAATTTCAGTCACATGGAAGAATAATTGTGGGTCTTCCAAGAGGTTTCTATTTCCATTGGCTACCAAAAAAAGGATCTGGTGTCCCATGAAGATATCAGAGAACCCACAGCTCCTGTCCCTGACAGTTCCCCCTTGCCAGAATCGAACCTCCCCATCCAGTGAAACCATTTCAGGAAGTGAGAAACTTTCAAGAGTTTCAACCCTAACGGTCAGTGAAGCTCCTTCTCTCATGGTTGTTAGGGGATCTTTAACATTTTATGTCACCAGGCTTTCAGTCATAGCTTTTATGATTATTATTTATTTCTAGCTCACCTTTATTATTATTTTTAAATAACTCAGAGTGGTACACATACCTAATACTCCTTTCTCCTTCTATTCTCTCCACAGCAACAACCATGTGAGGTCAGTTGGGATAAGAGAGAGCAATTCATCTAAAGTCACCAAGCCAGTCTTCATGTCTAAGGCGGGACTAGAACTCACTGTCTCCTAGTGATTGGTCCAATATTACCCAGCCGGTTTTCATGCCTAAGGCGGGACTAGAACTTACTGTCTCTAGGTGATTGGCCTGAAGTTACCCAGCTGGTTTTTGTGCCTAACGCAGGACTAGAACTCATGATCTCCTTGTTTCTAGGCTAATGCCTTCACCCCTAGACCAAGTTGGCCTTTTGTGTTATGTTTCATTGGCCTCCATCTTGGGCAGATTATGGTTGCTGATTTATTAGTAGTAATTTTACTATTTGGGTATTTATTACTGCTTCATTTATGTTAGCTTCTTGTAACCTACCAAGGGTATCATGTGTTGGACAGGCTATGAAAAGTGAAAAATCAACATAATTTAAAAAAATAAATGAAGGGAAGAGCTTTGTTTCTTTGTAGTCTTTCTCATTATTCTGGAATCTGGACATACCTAAAAATTACACTACATTCTGTTCAAGTCATGTTCTGGGTCATCCTTTCTAAGAATTCAAAACATAGAACATAAAATAACAGGGTTGGAAGAAACCTTGGAGATCTTCTTGTCCAACCCCCTGATCAAGCATGTACCATTCCTGTCTCCTCTTGAAAACCTGCCTGATGGAGCACCCACAACTTCTGGGGTTAAGTCCTTCCGCTAATTAATTGTTCTCACTGACAGGGGTTGGAATTCATTGTTGGAATGTATTTTTATGCAACAACTCTAGTATTTAGCCAGTAGATGACAGTGTTTACAAATTTGGATCTATGGTATATACTCTATGCTCTTTTGTTCTCAGTAGAGTTTCCTGTTTCCTGTTACAGTTATATAGTTGAGAGGTAAAGCACATGGTGACTGTACTCCTTGTTTGCTCTGTGGTACTTTATGTAAAACAGAATTTCTAACATCAGGAAATTTCTGCTTAGTTCTAATCTTCCACCTGTTACTCCTTGTCTCACCCTCAAACAGCTGACAAAAAGCCTTTCCACCAAAAAAAAAAACTTTTAATAAAAGCTGCAAAAGCTTCAGAAGATGGCAACCACCAAGGACTAGATATTGATTTCTGTGGAGCTGGAGACATTCAGCTTTGAGAAGACTGAGGCGGGTTATGCTAACGCTCTTCAAAGTGCTAGAAGAAATTTTCACAAAAGAAACTCCAGACCTGTCTTCTCTTATTTCAGAAGATAGGACAGGAAATAATGGATTTAACTTTAGTAACAGGAAGGCAGATTTTGATTGAATGTTAGACAAAACGTCCTTACAGGATAAGCAGTTTCAGTGTGGAATTAGTGATGCAGAGAGACAGGAGATGTCATGGATTCAGGAGGAAACTATCAGGCTTTAAATAGATTCCTACAGGAGGTGGGACGCCATAAACCTGAAGAATCCTTTCCAGTTCTATGTTCCCAAGACCTGTTTAGTCCTAGAAATATTTACACCAGGGGGAAACTTCAACTGCCTTAGTTGCAAGGGTGATTGTGTTCACTGGAAAGAGATTGAGAGAGCTGTCGTGGGTTTCTAAGCAGAGCTTTCTGTGATAGGTTGATTTGGATTAAACCAGGGGTGGGATTCAGCCAGTTTGGGTGAACCGGATGTTAAATTTATATCTGGTTCACTGAACCAACCGGCCGGCCCCTTCCCTCCCAGGAGTCTCCACACGGCCCATTTTGGATGCAGGCAAGTGCAGGCAAGTGCGGAGGCTCTGGGAGGACGAAAAATGGCCCTCCCAGAAGTTCCAGAAGTCTGGAAACTGGCCTGTTTCCAGCTTCCAAAGGGCCTCCGGAGCCTGGGGAAGGCTGTTTTCTCCCTCCCAGAGGCCCGAGGGAAGCCTCCGGACTCTGGGAAAGGCTAAAAAAGCGCCCTTCCGGAACGTCCAGTAGGCCACGCCCACCATGGCCACACCCACTCAGCAACCGGGCAGAGAACCGGTTGTTGGTATTTTTGAATCCCATTCCTGGATTAAACCCCAAATTTATATCAGCACAGTATCTCTGGAGTAGGTGGCACACAAATAATTATAAATTGCATTATAATTATGCGCTCCTTTGAATCACGCTTTCTACACTTGCTTCAGTAGGCGGCATCCAAATAATTGTTTATATTATAGCATTATAGTACATTATTACTTCGCATAATATAGATGTATAATACATGCGATACTAAAGCCTCATCATTCCGTCCTAGCCAAGAGAGAGCCATTAAAAGCTGCGGGGGGAAAAAGAGGAGAAAAAGAGTTTAACTTTGATCAAATAAGCCAACTTCACACATTTTCATTTTTAATTTTAAAGGCCTTGATTATTCCTTTTGTGTAATGTCCCAAAAGCTGGGGTTTTTTTTTTGTCTTTATAACACATCTGTTTTGTCAATCCAAAGTAAGGAAATTGTCCGTCACTTTTGTGAGTTAAACTTCACATATTCAAGTCACCCTTCTGATTTATTAGTTGTGTGTTCCTTTCAGTTATTAAAACCTCAGCCAGTTTCATTTTTAGGTCCTATATAATAACATCTTTGTCAATATGATTCTTGTATCCTGTCGATATTAAATCCATATCTAAAACAAACTGATTTTCAGCTATATATTTTTTTCTCTTCTTTTAAGCTCTTATCAGGTAGTCTAAAGTTTTCTAAATTCTAGGTACATTGTTTCCAAAGATCCTTAAATGCTTCCACAGTTAAAATATTTTACTCCATTGTGTATTACTAGGAATTCTCTTTTAGTTATAATCTTTAATTCTATTTGGCTGCCTCTAGTAACCAGCCTTCAAGATTTCCCCTTATCATGTTTTTCTGTCATCCAGAACATTTTTCCAAGAAGATATCGTTTTTTTACATTTAAACTCAAATCTTTATAGATGTCAGTAAGATTTTCAAGAAACCACAGGGAATATTCTTATAACTTGCCAAATTTTTGTTTCCAATCAATCTGGCTTCTTAGACCATTTAAAAACTTTCCAAAATCAACATTCTAATCACCCTTTTCCTACATAATTGCAAATAAAAAAGAAGTTTTTCTTAAAGTTCTAAACTTACATAAATCTTCTTTGGAGGAAAATCAGTCAGTGTAATAAAACTTATTTTTCTGACCTTCTGCATACTAAATGATAGTATGACCCTTCAAAGGACCATTATTTATTAAAGCTTTGATATTTAATCAAAGCTTTTCTATAATGCGTTGAAGAGATGTAATTAAATTAGTACATGTTACAAACCTCAGTTGAAATTTCTTCAGGAAATTGGAAAAATTGCATAATTATCTCTGGGCAATTGATAAAAATGATGCAGCATCAAAAATTAATTCCACTTTTTTATGTTGTTAGTGTTAGAGTTATTATAGCAAAATGCTGAAAATATATTTCTTTAGGTTAATTAACTAACTAATTAATTAACAAATAATCTTGAGTAATCCTTTGAAATGGATGAAATTAAATATATTTCCAAACTGCATTTTTAATGCCTCCTCCCTGTGTATTTATTGTTTTATTGTCAATGTTTTGTTGATGCACTATGTTAAACCAACATTACACATAATAATAAATTACACCCTTTTTTAACGGGCTGTTTTTCATTGCTGTTTGATTCATCTGCTGTGAAACTAAATTTCAGTTAAAAACTCTCAAAATTCTTAATTCTGATCACTCCTTGGAAATTCTCTAAAACCTTATTTGGTCATGAAGGTTAAGAACGAGCATACAACAGTCTATTGTGCACACAAAAATGGAAGGCCATTTTGATTCCCACCATGGACAAATGGTTGCAGAAGTCGATGGAGTTGGCTGAAATGGCAAAATGGAGTATTTTGATTCAAGAAAATAATATAAGTACTTTCGTTTCCACATGGAGCTTGCTTCTGAACTTTGTGCCTGGAGTGGTAATGAATGAATGAAACTTTGATTTATGGGTTTTGCCAATTAGACTGACAGATCCTTATAGACATAGCTAGTTTATATCAGTATGAAAAAGCAAAAAGCTGTGTTTTGATGTTGTTTATGCCTTATTTTACTGCAACAGAGAGAGTTGGAAGTTAATACTACTTTTTCTTTTTCCTAATCCTTCCTCATTTCTTTTTCCCCTCACTGCTTTTCTATTTACTTTTGTGTTTTGTATCTAATTTGATCTTATAACTCAATAAAAATGTTAAATTAAGAACGGGCCAGCTTTCCTTCTGATCAGATTATAATTGTTGTTGTTACTCATTACTTATATAAAATGAAGTAGGCTATGGATAATCTAAACACGTACTAAATAATTCCAGTTTAAAATTCTACGGAAGCCGCACTCGGCTGAAAATGGGATCAAGGAGAGCCCTGGGAAATTGGAACAGATGTTTTAGAAAGGTATTTCAACTAGCTTTGATCAACTCCATTAACATATTCCTGCCTTTTTCTTTTCCTTTTTTTTTTTTAGTGAAGAAAGAAATGTTGGGGTGATTTGAAGGGCAGTCTGCTTTTTAAATCATTTTTATGCAACGCTTATAAAGTCGGGCTGGGGCCAATCGTAACACAAATGTTGGAGAAATTATAAACTGAATTATTAGCTTGGGGGAAAAAAATCTCTTATTTCTGAAAGAGATTTTTTTCCCAATCCTGCCATAACCTGTCCTATCAAATATCCAGAGAGGTTTGATAGCAATCGTGTTTCCTGTAGAAATGTTGAATATGTTTGTCAAATAGGTCATCCAGATTCATTTTTGTTACAAGTCTCTGAAGTAGTTTCACATATCTTTTTATGGCTGGGGGCTACATATAACATTGACAGAGAGACCTGGTTAGCTGAAGTGACTAAGATTCTGGGATAGCTTTTGATCCTTAAAAAATACATTAAGCTTGTTCCATCATTTATTTATACATGAAAAAGAAAGATATATGTCCCAGTTATTAGCAACTATGGCCAAAGTGGCTTTTAAAAAGAGGGGAAGCAGGTACAAACCATCCATTTTTATTATAGACCTTATCTTTCATTTCTGGCATATATTCACAGACTTCTCTAATGTCCAGAATATATCGACGGATGGCTCTTGACCTGAGCTATCCTGATGATTAATTAATATGTTGCTTATAAATTGAGGGCCAGTTTGGTGTAATGGTTTGAAACAGTGGTGGGATTCAATTTTTTTTTACTACTGGTTCTGTGGGCGCGGCTTGGTGGGTGTGGCAGGGGAAGGATACTGTAAAATCTCTAGTCAGAGGTAGTATTTGCTGGTTCTCTGAACTACTCAAAATTTCCGCTACCAGTTCCCGAGAACTGGTCAGAACCTGCAGAATACCACTTCTGGTTTGAAGGCAGCATACTAGAAATTGGGAGACTGGGAGTTCTAGTCCTATATGAAGAATGGTTGCAGGAACTGGGAATGTCTAGCTAATGCAGAGAAAATCTACGGGTAACATGCAGGGGTGGGCTGCTACGGGTTTGGGGGATCCTTCTAGCTAAGATTCTGTGCAGTTTGGTGAACTGGCAAATCACACCCCTGGATGGCCCCGCCTGCCTCTCCCCTCCCAGGCCTGTTTCACAGGGCCTGCATGGAGGTTCAGTCTTGGGCCTCCTGGAGGCTCTAGAAGGCTGGAAACGGGCCCATTTCCAGCCTCCGGAGGGCCTCTGGAGCTTGGGGGAGGCCATTTTCGCCTTCCCAGAGGCTCGAGGAAAGCCTCTGGAGTCTGGGGAGGCCTAATCATCAGGTACAACACTTAATGATAGTCATAGGGTACAATAAGGAATCAAACCATACTAGGAAACAATCAGTACAAATCATTAGGATACAAGCAACAAGATTACAGTCATACAGTCATGAGTGGGAGGAGATGGGTGAAAGGAAAGATGGGAGGGTTAATAGTAATAGTAATAGTGGTGCAGACGTTGTAAATAGTTGAACGGTGTTGTGGGAATTAGTTGTTTAGCAGAGTGATGGCATTTAGGGAAAAACTGTCCTTGTATCTAGTTGTTCTGGTGTGCAGTGCTCTATAGCATCGTTTTGAGGGAAGGAGTTGAAACAGTTCATGTCCGGGATGTGAGGGGTCTGTAGATATTTTCACAGCCCTCTTTTTGACTCATGCAGGATGCAGGTCCTCCATGGAAGGCAGGTTGGTAGCCATTGTTTTTTTTCTGCAGTTCTAACTCCGTTGAATTCTGTGTCTGTTCTGTTGGGTTGCAGAGCCAGACCAGACTCTGCACCTCATAGAGGTGCAGATGACAGACTCAATCATTCCTCTGTAGAACTGGATCAGCAGCTCCAAGACCTGCCTAGGTAGCCTCTGTCCCCAGGCTGTTCCCAGGTAGCCAGCCCATGGTCAACATGCTCTGCTGCTTTTCAGAGAAAACACTCGTGTCCTGCTTAGTCTCAAATAAATCACTGCTGTATCTGTAATAAATCGACCCAGCTGTCAAATGCAGACCATGTCCTAAGAGAGGTCAGAGAACTGATTCTGGCAAGGTGCGAAGATCTCCTGTGGATGGGACCTAACATGATACTCCCCCTCCTGTTCCCGTAAAGGTTGCAATCCTACAACATTACTGATGACAACGCTTCTGCCTGGACGGCCAGAGGTATCAAAACCGGCTTAGAGCAGGAAAGGCACTCAACTTTTTCCCTAGATGAACCTGGAGATGCAAAATTGCCACTCCACTCCTGGAACTGTATAAGGAGATTCCCTCCTTAAATACCGATCATTACACTCCTCTTGATCTTCCTCCATACTTAGGTGGCACTTTTCAGACATTCTGCCTGGGCCCTTCCCCCCACCTCCCACCTACTCAGAGGGACCTCAATCAGCCCTAACGACCAAGGACCGCTTGGTGAGCAGGAACTGGCAAGGAACCGAGCCAGCTCTTTTGGCGTGCCCCTCGTAAGCAGAAAAACGCAGCATGCAATTGCAGTTGTCATTCAGCTATCGGGGGAAAGACACGGCTCTACCCCAGGCGAGCACCCACCTTAGGCAAATAACAGTTTGTTTAGCAGTTTAACATGCTCGAAAGTACTTGCCTTTTCAGGGAGCCCAGCTTCTCTCCGCCTGCTTTGGGACCGTTTTAGATCATGACATTCTTCTGGCGTTTTCCTTCTGGGTTGCCGGTTACACAACAGCTTCTTTGCCCGGTTAGCTGCATGTGGTTGAGTCAATGGCTATTTTTAATGGCGTTAATTATAAACATGATGCATGTGTGTGTGTGTGTGTGTGTGTGTGTGTGTGTCCCCACACCCCACCCCAATAGCGGACTTCCAAATATTTTCAGGGCGAGAGGCAGCTGAGCCCGGCTTGGAAAAGAGCCCATCATCTGAAATAGCTTCAGCTCGGCATGACCTTCCAAAGAGCTTTGGGTGTCACAGTTCCCACGTGAGGGTGTGGAAGGGACCGTTCCAGGAACTGCAAGTTCTCAAAGCAGGGAGAAAGCAAAACAGGGAGACTGTCATGCCTTCCCTTCTGAACAAAGGCAAGAGTGTCTGCAAGGGAAGGCGGTTTTGCCTCGCTGCAAGATTCCTTTGTCTGCCACATGTTAGCATAAGCCTGTGATCATATTTACTAATCGAGTTTATGTCGAGCGGCTGCCCATCTCCCCCCC